ATCATCTCTATTTGTACCCAGCAGAGACGTGATACTGTAACTGCTCACACTACCTTTTGCTGACTGGTGCAGGGAAGGCAGGACACTGCCTGGCTGTAGAGTTTGGCACGTGACGGTGCAGATGCTGCTATTACCGTTGTTATTATTGTGGGGCAAGGCACTAGTGGTACGAGCTCGCTGACGTTTTGAACTGGCCAAGTCATAGAGGGTGACTCGTTCCATCTCGCGAAGGATTCTTTTACGCGGAGATATTATGCTTGGATCCATGCGACTGGCAGCCACAGTCATTGTCCTTGCAAGGTTCTGCATTGGCATAGATGTACTCACCCCACTGCTGCTGCATGCCACTGTTTCACTACTGCTCAATCCCTGCACTCTCTCCCACAGTGTTTGTACTATAACAGTCAATTTGGCAGGATCTGATCCTACTTTTCTCACCCTCACTAATTTCCCATTGTTTGTATTGTTCACATCTAACACAGTAACTTCAGTGGGATCATAAGGGCTCCTTCTTTTCCGTCGAATAGTATCTGAGAAGTAGTGCATGTTCCGGATATATAACATGTGACGCAGCGGTTGCATGACAAACGTCATCTCCTTGCCAATGTTACGGCGTGGATTACTTTGTTTCCAACAGTGATCCCGCTGCCAAGGAGATGACTGAACTGATGAATTATCATCTGATACTGCAAACACAAGTAACTCAAATCAACTGCACTGTCACAATCATTACTTAATTTTAAAGGAAGAACATTAAAGAATCTGATGCACATACACTGGTCAACAAACAGAAAGTCTGTGTCATCCAACCACCTTCACTGCATGATGTTTAGACGTTGGAGCAACTATCTCTGTTTAAAATTTAAAAGATACAAAGGTAGAAAATAATCTAAAGAAAGGATGACAATTTTCTCTGAAGCCCTATAGCTGGGAAGACTGAAGAATCTTTTGTTACAGTGAAGGCTGCAAAACACTTTTAAAAAACATTAACATAAAGGAACGTCCTGTTTGGAAATTGAACAAAAAGATATGGAGCACATCTCATGTGATGAAAGAATGGTTGGCAGTATTCAATAAGGATGAAATAACAATTGTTCTCTTATTTTTTGACAATAAAACACGTCCTGGAAAGCAATATAAAACCTTATTGCAATTCTGTGAAAAACATAAATATATTCAGGCACTTGCATTAATTATAGATAATTCTACATTAATAAATGTTTCAAAGATAGCAAATATTGACTAAGATTTGTGCTGACCTGTTGGAAAAAATAAACACATTAGGAAATGTATGCAAAGCACTCATATTTTGGGCATGTTCCCAGTGAAGGACCAACAAGAACACATACATATTGAATCAATGGCAAGTAGGCTGTATGAACTTTGGCTTAATATGGGGCTGAAAAAGTGTGTAAATCAATTTTTGATGAATGGACAGGCACTCCATATGACTGAAAATGCGCCTGACAAAAAAGTAAATAACCAAAAACGCACAGCATATTAAATGTATAAAAAAAGGGTCAGAGTAACATGTAGTCAAAAATGTCGTAAGTTCCTGCATCAATAAGTATACCTGCGCACTGTAAGCACCTGCCTGTAATAAACACTTTCAAGGCTCCATTACAGACAGGTTTTATTGTAATTAAACAAACAATATAGGATGTACTATACCACTGAGTGAGGTGGAACTCTCCTGTCGTGGAGTTCCTGCAGCGGCAGGTGGAGGCCAGTACGTCTTCTTCGGAACAGGAACCCACGAAGTGCGATCACCTTCTTTGCGATGGGACAGTTCAAGGATAAACTTGCCATCTACATGAAAAACCACACAACACATCAATTACCTACAACTGTGGTTAATCCTTTAAAGCAAGATAGGAACTATATGAACCACCTGCTTTAATATTTATTTACTTTACATTATTATAATTTTTTCTTTTACAGAATGTCTGGTTATATGACATACTGCATAAATTACAGCTCAATAACTACCTGTATTTGTATAAGAATTTCTTCTTGTTCTTTCAAATATGTATATAATTCATGTACATCACCTCACAAGCAAGTGTCTTGATCTCTAAGTCCTTGTCTTCCCAAGGCTCTTCTTCATAAACTGTTCTTCCTTCTGCGTGATATCCTTCCTAACCTGTTACCTCCATCTTGATCTAGGCCTTCCTCTTTGACATTTTCCTTTTCTTTCATGTTCGAAATGCCCTTTGGGACTCTCTTTTCATTCATTCTTAAAATAAGTCTATACTGTCATGTGTTAATTTGCCTTCCACGGGGATTATCTTTAAATTTTCTATAATTTCTTAATTTATTTTATCCCCTTTTAAAACAAAAGGGGAGAAAATAAACCTTAAAAACTGCACCCCTGCTGCTATCTGTCTGCTAATATCCACCTTGGTCCATGCAATAACAATGAGCACAGAGTAACTTTTAAATAAGCACATTTTCTCCTTCCTTGTCACTTCCCCATTTCTGACACGAGACACTCCACAGATAAGAACACCGCCATACCATGCCTCTGAAGTTTTATAACATTTTAAACATTTCTGAAGTTCAATTTCTTAAAATTTATTATATTGTAGAAAATATATCAATTATGGAATAAACCAAAAGCAACTCTTGGTTTTTAATATGAGTGTAATGACCATGTACACACACTGAACCTGCAGATGACTGCATGTGGCCAAAACATGTAGTTCAATAAACACTCAGAAAGTGACAGTTGAAACAAACATCAAATTTCCCAATGCCATAGCATGTCCTCACTAAGTGGTAAAATATTCCTGAATTTTCTGTTCTTTCAATAAGTTTTTCCTTAACACTTGTTTTTGTCACTATCTTATTTCCTATTTAATTACAGTCCTCTACTTTTTATTCCCTAAACATTACATCTTACCTTGCCATTCTCCATCTTCCAGCCTATATTTAAAAAAATGCACCTATCTTAAATTAAACAATCCAAAATCTTTACATGCTACAACAAAAACTTCTTCTCTAAGATGGTTTCATTCAGTTCACATTTAACTAGACTGTCTGTGTATACCATAATTTTTGGTAATCACTCTCTTGTCCTCCTGTTATTCTTCTTCTTGTCCATTGCCATATTTAGCAGCAAAGAAATGAACTTCTCAGTATAGAAGCTCTGATACACGCAGACATCAGCAAGACACATATAAAAGGCAGACAACTCATGATACCTATCATGGGATAAGCTAATATGCCATGACAGAATGATTACCTGATAAAAGCTTATGTGCTTTTAAAATAATGCATGAGACAATGAATAAATAACCTTGTAAATGATAACATCACCCCACAGATCATCCACAGGGACTATGTAAAAATATTCTCAACATGAATCAAGCTATAGGCACAGCTATGGAACATTTTGAATTTCATACAAGCAAGAGGTTCGAAACACCAACAGTGAATATCATTGCTTGAAAATGTGAGCATACTGAAGATATTGATATACTATACCACTCTGGCAGTCAGAAGTTGAATAGGGTATGTACAACCTGTAGACAAACACTGAAAAACTAACATTGCATTTCTTGTGGGATGACATTCTGGAGCATCTAAATCATTTTAAAGTAATAATTCAGAAGGACAACCTTACACTTGAGTTTTATACAGCTGCATAGACTTTCCACACAAAGTTTCTTTTGCATTCATACCAAAACAATGAAGATGAATGTACAAATATTTCTGGTCTATAAAGCTTATAATTTAGTTCTAGTACAGCCAATAAGTACAGTGACATTACACACAAACTACATGAAGAATTCAATCATCAATTTCAAGAAAGTAGAAAATGAAATTCAACTATTAACTTGTCCCTTCATCTTTATTCTTCAACAAGCTCCAGATAATCTTCAAATGAAGCTAAGTGACCTGCAGAATGATACAAAAATAAAAGAGAAGCTGAACTTTAGGATGCATGCTACTATGTTTTTGGTTGCTAAGTGATTCAAAATAGAGACATTTTAAGACCTATAGAAGGAAAATGTTATAAATATCTGGATCCACATGAACTCATGAAGAAACCTTTTCTTTAATGAAGAATAACAAATTATAACTTAAAACTATGAATGACACACATTTGGCTGCTGTTCTGCACACTGTAATGTCCACATTTGCAAACTTGTTAACAAATGCAAGCAGTGTCATCTATCAAATTGGTCTGGTCAATACTCACAATAATTATGAGCATTAATTTAGATAGGTTATACTTCTTTGCTTGTTTAAAATTTTACTTTGTAAGCACTTGTTTCCACTTTGGATTATGACCTCTTTCCAGTTTTGTAAAACAACTTAAATTTCATATTCGTTTCTTCGTGAAAAAGTTCACCCAGCCTTACTTTAGTGGCTACACATTAGAACAGCATTTTTAAATTCTCCTACTTGCCTTGGTTATTTTGGTTTAGATTTAATGAAAAAAAGAATACCTTTAAAAAACTTCAGTCTGCCACCAGCAATTGAACAGGATCTATCAGGATCTGCAGTGGCTGTCAAGTTCGGGCTTTGGGCCCCATCGGCGTTGCCATGTCCAAAGCCCCTCTTGCTACCACTGGGTACATCTCCATTCAAGCTCCTTTCTTCGGTCATTTTGGCACATGATGTAGAGGCTTTTTCTTGCACTCGCATTTCTTCTATCCAATTCTATCTCTTAATTTTAAATAAAACACGTTATAGCTGCCCCAGCTACGGGCTGTTACCGAATCCTGCTCCATCGTCTGGTATGTGGAAATGCTCCTTCGTTTACTCGTCCATGTTCGATTGTCCACCTGCTGAGAATGAATGGAAAACTTTAATGTATATGCATATCAAGCGTCACATAAAAGAAAACAAGAAAGACTTGTCAAAACAGCATATCAATGATCCGAAATGGGTTCAAACTAGCTGCTAAAACCACGCGGAATGTTTGAAATATCAATGCCGAAAAATAAGATATTTCACTCACCTCGTCAACACTTCTTGGTCCATTCCACTATTCCTCTGTTCCCTAGTTCATTCACACCCAGCGGCCATCGCTGTTCCATTTTCTTCGTTTCTCTATTCACAGGGCAAGCAAGATGGAGGATATTCGTGTTCGACGCGTTGTGCAAACTGAAGATTTATCAAATGTTGAGTTTGAGACTAGCGAAGATGTGGAAGTTCTTCCTACTTTTGATAGCATGGGCTTACGAGAGGAGCTCTTGCGGGGAATATATGCTTATGGTAAGTATTTCAAAGCGAAATAACTTGTATTGACCTTGCACGTATTTGTACTAGTTTTTGGCCCAATGATAGGTTAGGTCAGATTCACTATCCTGTTTGCATTATTTTAAAGCATCATGTATTTTGTTTCAGGATTTGAAAAGCCTTCTGCAATACAACAAAGGTCAATAAAACCTATTGTGAAGGGAAGAGATGTGATTGCACAAGCTCAATCTGGAACTGGTAAAACAGCAACATTTTCCATAGCTATTCTGCAGTCTTTGGATACAACAGTTCGTGAAAGTCAGGTGTTGTGTTTGTCACCCACGCGAGAACTTGCGACTCAAATCCAAAAGGCAAGTCAATGACATTACTTAAATGTTATTTTGTTTACAACTACTTTGACTTTACTACTAACACTACTACTTTGTTTAAGGCTAAGTTGGGCTTTGCTGGATAGGATAATTATTAGGAATAATAATTATGAGAAAAACTTGAATTTATTAACAGGTTAAGATGGTAGGTAAGTTTGAAGAGTTTCCATTATGCCCAATTCTTTCTTGTAAATCTTTCCAGATTATGTTATGTATAAAATTGATCTCCATGCTGATGCCTGTGTATTTCATCACTAATTTGAAATAGATATTGGATTTGTACTAATTTAAGTTTTATGTTGCAGGTGATCCTTGCATTAGGAGACTTCATGAATGTACAGTGCCATGCTTGCATTGGTGGCACAAACCTTGGAGAAGATATCAGGAAGCTTGATTACGGGCAGCATGTGGTCTCGGGAACACCTGGGAGAGTTTTTGGTATAAATTTATATTGTTCCTTTTCTTTAATTGTTGTTACCTGAAGTCTTGATCTAGCTTCACACTTATTGGGATCTTAAACTTGCTTCCTGTTCCAGACATGATTAGACGCAGAGTGTTGAGGACTCGTTCAATAAAAATGCTTGTTCTGGATGAAGCTGATGAAATGCTAAACAAGGGTTTCAAGGAACAGATATATGATGTGTATCGTTACCTTCCTCCAGCAACACAGGTGATTAAGGGATTTATCAGACATGCTGTGTATATGATGAATGTTTTACTTTATGAATCATCTTTCTAACCAATCACATTAATTGTATGTGAGCCCAGAAATAATGGACGATTTGCTTTCAGTAAATATCCAGTTAGGAATCTTCCTTGCTTGGATCACCAGCTGTTGTGATTTTCCCCAGTCAGAATTCTAGATTAGAACCTTAAACTATAACATGACATCTTTCCTCCTCCTTCATCATTCATTTTCTTGTGAAAGAGAATTATACTTTACATCAGCTTGTGAGGAATGGAATGTGCACATCAACATGCTTTACTTATTCCCACCACGTACATGACTCGGTCACATTAATTTTTGGTACTTGTCTCATAAGCCACATACATTTTTTTGAAAGATATATGAAAATAAAATATTCATTCTTTTCAAATTGAAACTTTGTTGATGTTATATTTCATGAACACATTTTAGTGTTTTTTTATAAAATGTAACCTACTTCTGTTCTTAGGTTGTTCTCATTTCTGCCACCCTTCCTCATGAGATATTAGAAATGACGAGCAAATTTATGACAGATCCTATTCGAATCTTGGTGAAACGGTAAGATATAACTGAAGTGTATATATGAAATTAATTTTTAAAACCATAGCAAAGTGAATTCTTTTCTAAGGAGATCCTTGTAAAATTCAACTTGTTCTTATTTCATAGATATGTACTTTTATTGCATTTCCTAATTATGAATATTTACTTATTCAGAGTATTTATTAATGCTTAACCATTATGATCCAGCCCAGCTGGCAGTGCAGTGCACCAGCATAACAGTACATTTGATGTAATTTTTTTCTGTTAACTAGTGATGAATTGACACTGGAAGGAATAAAACAGTTTTTTGTGGCAGTAGAACGAGAGGAGTGGAAATTTGACACATTATGTGACCTGTACGATACGCTGACCATTACACAGGCAGTTATATTTTGCAACACAAAGCGGAAGGTATGTTTTGAATTCCTATAGAGCCGACAATTTCTTTATATGTTAATTGAAATGTTGCAGTTGCCACATTCTGTATGTTGATAAAGTAGCTGTTTGATTTTCCATCAGGTTGACTGGTTGACAGAAAAGATGAGAGAAGCCAATTTCACAGTTAGCTCAATGCATGGCGATATGCCACAGAAGGAACGAGATGCTATAATGAAAGAATTTCGCTCGGGGCAGAGGTAGGTACTGCGATTAGCATTTTTTGTGGATTATTATTGATGCACAATATTGTGATGTGAATATTGGAATAATGGTGAAATCTTACTAGATATGCTCCTGTGTCTCCACTACGCTAATTAGAACCCAGGATTAAATTCTGAAATGTTTGTTATGGTATTTCTTGGTTTGCAGGCAAATGTTAAATACTGTGCCTAACTTAAAATAAGTCACTGCTTACTGCTCACCAGGCAACCATGTACTATTTTTAATATTTCCATTCATTGCCTCCATAAATATTTTCTCTTTTCAGTCGTGTTCTTATCACTACTGATGTTTGGGCTCGAGGAATTGACGTACAGCAAGTTTCCCTGGTTATAAACTATGATTTACCAAACAATCGAGAATTGTACATCCACAGGTAATCACTTATGAGAGCATGTGATAATTTTGCTATACCAATGATGAAGTCTTGAGCAATTCTCAACATTTTGAGAAATTTTATAAATCCATCACAGGCCCATATGCATGCACTGTGAGGTATTATCACATATAGGCATGTGGTTAATATTCCAAGGAAAGAAAACTAAGCGTCATGGTATGATGTCTTATCTTCTAGTTTTTTAATGTATTGTTTTATATGTTCACATTATATTTTGTTAAAATCATCATTACAGTGCTGTTGTGAAAATCCTTCAAATTGCTGATGATAAGAATAGTTCAAAACAGTTTTGCATAAATTCACCATAAGGCCTGCAGCAAATTATCTTGCGGTTATAGTAATTTATTCTTGTGTTTCAGGATTGGTCGATCAGGTCGTTTTGGCAGGAAGGGTGTTGCCATTAACTTTGTAAAGAGTGATGACATCAGGATTCTTCGAGACATCGAGCAGTATTACTCTACACAGATTGATGAAATGCCAATGAATGGTAATTGCAGACATTTTAATAAATGAACTGCATGTTGTTTGCATGGAATTCACTGTTCAGTTTGTTTTGTAGTTCAGCAAAACCAAGTTCATTATAAATCATATTTGTAATTATTTCTCTGAGGAATATTTTTCATTCTGATTTTGAAAGTTCCAGTGGAAGAATAAGCGTCACAGTACTTTGATGAATTTATCAACGAAACTTCTCTTTTACAGTTGCTGACTTGATTTGAATGCTGCATATCAAACTTCAACTTTTTGTGCTGAAAGGAGATTCATCGTGAAGAAGATTCACTATTAAATCCAGCACTAAATATTTGTATTTTGTATCTCTTTCATTGTAACTATGACATTTTTTTAAAATAGTGTATCCACTGTTCCACCAAGATTCTGTGTTTTAGAAAATTTCTTCTTTATGTGGGACTTCATTATTACTTGTAATTGGAACACCCAGTTCATGCCATTCCTACAAACACATGGGCATATACTAGTAATCTTTACCATCAGTGACTTCTATACAAAGACTGAAGTACTGACATAATGAGACTGCTACTGTAAACAGTATGAGGCAATATATTAAATGGCTCTTCTGCTCAGTTTATGTGTATTAAGCATAATTATCCATTGAAATCTGAAGAATATGGACAGCTCTGATACCATTTCCAAATTAAATATTACGTATTTAAAGGACCCTGATTAACCCATTAATGATGCCATGTCTTTGTGTTCCCTAAAATGACTCATTTTGAAATTTGAATAGCTTTTGGTCTAATGGATGAGTTTGTTCACAAGTTTTGGTGAGACAGGATGACAAAGATCTCTGGTAAATTAGAATTTTGTGTCTTCACACTATACTGAAACTCAAACCATATTCACACTTCTGTACACTACTTTTTTGCAATACATCTTGTCCACCTTCAGATAACTTATTGAATCAAGCAGCAAATAACTTTCCTAACTCCACAATCAAGACTGCACCACTTCCATTGTCTTCTCTTCATTTCTGTTGTACCTCCAGCTTCCCAGATGCTCCTTAAATGGTCCAAACAAGTGAAAATCATGCAGGATCAAATCTGGACTGTATGGAAGGTGAGGAAGCACATCCCATACTAGTGGAATGTGGATGGGCATTATCGTGAAGGATAATGACCCCTCTGGTCGGTCATCTATGCAGTTTGGATCTGATGGCAGACTTAGGTTTGTCTTTAAGCAGATCACAGTAGCAGACTGCACTCATTGTTTTCCTATGTAACAAAAATTGACACAGACAGTGCCTAGGTTTACTGTGGTACCTGGGTGCACTGCGTGCAGCAAGTTTGATCCAAGAAACCTCCAAGTGAATTTTTATAAGTTTCATTAACATTTCAACAGATTTGTACCAAGAAAGTAGACTTTTCTACCTTTATTTCACAAATTTATATGCAAAAAGGAAGTCTTTACAAATAAAATACATTACATGTGTGTACAATGCTATTTATCACGTAAGCAATTTCTACACTCAAGAATACAAATGCAGATTACACTAGCTGTGAATACCTCAAATTCTACTCAGTAATTTTATAATTCGATTTAAGATACATACAGGCCAGATCACCCTGTTGATGGTGACAAGAAGCCTCAGAAATGACGGCCTTCTATCAGGCTACACGGCGCAACATTCCAGCAGTCTGTCACCTTCAAGTTGTATAATACGTCCCTCCTAAAAGTATAATGGATGCAAGCACAACCATTTTTCGAAGTTTCACCTGGTGCAGTACATTTTCTGAAAAGGTATCTGACGACACTGCAATAAATACACAACACAACAGCTACAGCCCATTATTTTCATCTGTGACCACGAAGCGTGCAAAAATACAGATAACCTATAAATGGTTTGATACTATATTCTGTGAACATGCATATTGCTGATTACATGTTCAAACATTGGAAATAGTAGTAGTTTTTGGTATAGGTTAAAGTAGTTCAATTATTATATTTGTATCCACATCAGCACTGCTGTTTTGGAAGAATGTCGAAAGTTACCTCCAGGTTAAGAACTCTGAAGAAGTCCGCTGAGAAAGTTGTCCATGGCAACAAGATACGAGCAATAATTCCATCTGGCATGGCGTCGGCTGGTCCACCTCTTGGACCAACTTTGGGACAAGTAAATTCATATGCATGTCGTTAACTCAGGACGAATTTCAATCCTTTTTGTGTTAAATATGGGGGTTGGAATCTTACTAGTTTGGGGTTTGTTCTTATAATTGAACAAGTATTCTCGGATTTGAGTAATCTTCAGCTACAGACACACTGTTAGACGAATACAGTTGCAACATCACACTTTACATATATGACCAACAATATATAATGGATACGTGCCTGTTTTTTTTTTAGTATATATGATTGTCACTTGTATAATGAGCTGTAATTATAGGACAAACTAGAGATATGTTCATGATCGAGCATTTGTTTAACGGTTCCCATACTTTGGACATTGTAGCTCAACTGTTTATTATTTTGTTTTATGTTTATTTCAGAGAGGAATTAACATTGCTGTATTTTGCAAAGATTTCAATGAAAGAACAAAGGACATGAAAGAAGGGCTTCCCCTGCCATGCAGAATAATAGTAAACCCTGATCGCAGTTATGAACTAATAATACACAA